GCAACAGCAGCAGCAACGTTATGCCACAAAAACACAGACTATGGGTGTTAAGACGTTTATTTCCTCATCAATAACTACTGTCTTCATTTAAAGCAAGTGAAGGTAGATTTAACTAGAGTTGCTTTGTTGTATGAAAGAAGGGGAGGCGAAATTTTATCCATTCAAATTTCATCGGAAAATCCTATACAAGCAAAAATAGGGCGCATTCACCTTAAGAGAAAACCCACCTTGTCACAAGTTACATCAAGAGGTGCCTGAGCTATTAGTTAGTAAACAACCACACGAGGGTATAAGATTTGGACCAACTCAGACGTCGCTTGAATCCATATAATGTAATGCTCTCATGCATCAATGCTTTTGTAGAGTAGTATTAAGAAGCCAATTACCATTAGCCTTTGAGGCTTATCTCGACTACCTAGTCAATATCTTAGAGCACAAATGTAACTGGTGGTTCAGCCACAAAACCTCTATAACCGAAACGGCTTTCACCACATGGAACCTTATGGATACTAGGCCAGTTTCGACATCCACTCGCATCTACAGATTTATCATGCACAGTAGACTATAGCTCATTGAACAACAGACTGTAGCAGGCGCACCACTAGTAGCAATGCCTCGACCATTGCTTAGGGCAAATGGCGTGCATAACCAATTTGAAACAAAAATGAGGAAATGGAGCTATATTATCCCAAAAAAGCTGTCAGTTGCAAGGCATATCTAATACTAAACAAAAAGATTGCCTGAAGAAGTAAAGGAAGAGTTACGCTAGATGTTCAAAAAGAAGATAAAGTCTTCGTTCCTGGCGAAAACACGAAAATACAGTATATGCCTATGAATACTAACGCAGAGGATTTTTTTAAAAAGATGCTCGTCAATTCGGAACACTGTCTCCGCAGTGCAAAATAGATATTTTCAAGACTATTAACAAGTGCTACTTCAACATTGCCTATCAGAGAACTCGTAGGTTTGGCGACAAACTGACTGACAGAATGCACATAAGTTGCACTTCGATCCGGATAAAGACCGCTGAAAAAACCTTATTGACTGTACAACATCATACAGAAAGGCAGTTCTGTCACCGTTTGTAAACTACCACTCATTTCAACTCAGTCCACCACCTATTGAGTGTTCTTCCTCGTTAACCATATGCTTGAATGAAGGCGCTGTTTAACACCGCAGCTTATTATTTAAGGAAAAAAAGTAAGCAATTCTCCACTTTCTAGAGAAATAGCATTTTGTCCATGTACTAATGTGGAAAGAGACTTACAGTAAGCTCGATCATAGCCATCATAGCGAAACCGGAGAGAAGAGCACTAGCACGGCTAGAGGCTTTGAGTTTGGCCCGGCTGAGATGCAGTTTGCGAATGGAAGTGCGATTGACAGAGCGGCGAGCCTCTGCCAAAGGCAGATGCTCAGTCCAAGGAAAATTTCCATCATCTGTGGTGTCTCTGTTCACCATTTCCCGATCAAAGAACCGTCCTCAAGTGCATCAACTGCAAGTGTTCACGACAATGAATTATATAAGCACCATTTGTTTGCTCAACGCAAAGTGGAACACTCAGAAGGTTAACAGCTCTCAAACGCAGCACTAGCGCACGAAAGCCAGTGGTATCTTAAATGTATCTATAAGAACAAAGAAATATCAGAATCTTCATTCACGTATTGAGCAACCCAAACAAATTTCACCGAAGAGAAACCATAGCTAAACAATATCAGTTGTTGTTGCGCCTTGAATATAATAACTAGTATAGCCTCAGTCCTCATCACATCAAATCGCTTATCAATTTTTTATAACCATAAGATAAGAGCAATAAACGGTCATTTTTCCGACAAATGCAATTATTCAAATGCATACAAACACACAGTGTATGGTAATAAAGCACGCTCCATAATGTCCTATATGGTAGAACACTCCTTAACCAAGTCCGCAATAAAAAATCGAAGTCTAGTTTACCGGGAATGTTGAGTAAAACATGGAAGCAAACGGAACAGAAATCGTGTGCCACAGCCCAAATTCGGTATTAAAATTTGTTGGATAATTACCAACTAGACCAACTTTCAGACATAGAAACTTCACAAAAGACGAAGTACAAATGTTATAGTCAGTTTAACAGGCTAACTGGCCCACACAAAAAAATTCGAAAACCCACAAAAAGATA